GTTAACAGTGTGCTTAGCAAAACTGACTTAATCAACTGCAAAGTATGCATCTGTGACTTTTAGGTATTCTCTTTTCCTGCCCGTGTTCTTAGGCTTAGGAAGTTTATAGCTATAGTTTTTCTCTGCATATATTCCAATATACACTATTTTTTATCTATTTCTATTTTTATCATTGTCTCTTTTTGGACTCGTGAATTATTTATTTATAAATATATTACTTTGTTTCCACGCATACAATTTTTTAACAATTGTTTCTGTGTTAGTTGCACGGTGTCCAGGAAATGTGATCTGTAGTGCCAGGGTAGAGCTCTGTTTTGCCCAGAAGATGCCAGAGCCCAGCCCGGAGGCCTGGACACTTAGGAACTCCTGGGAATTACCGTCCAAGTGTTAAACAGCAAAACACGAAAATGCGGATTGTCCTCGTCTGCCACACATAAAATCATTCATCTTAGGTCAAAAACAAGAAGGACCCTGAGTCCGAGAAGAAGCTCACGTGGTGACTTTGCTTTGGTGGCCATCTCTGACGTGGTGTTTGCACATTGGCTCATGCTGGGGCGTCACAATGACTCCGTGTGAAGGTGAAGCCGAGCATGGATGCTCTGATGCTGCTTCAGGCTTCCTGATAGCCAACACCCCTCAGGACCAGAGAGAAGGCCCAGCCCTGCTCTGCCCAAGGAGGGGCCACCCCACAGCAGAGCTGCTTCCCCAGAGGTGGCCCTTCTGTCCTCACTTTCTGAGCAGTGTCTTTCTCTCTTCCTCTGCTCTGCTGGCATTGATAGCTCGGGTTGGCTCTGCTCAGCTTGGTGCACTGTCCTCTGGGTTCTGTGGAGGCAGTGGCCTTTCCCACAGAGGGGGGGAACTGTGCCAGCTGTGAGGAGTGAGCCTGGGGGTGTCAGTAGGTGCTAAAGTTTAGGGTCCCCAGCTGCAAATCTTAAGGTCTCCAAGGTCCAGCAACTGGTGGAAGCATCACAGAGCTCAGGAAAGCCCTCTTGCTCTTTACACAGCTGAAACAGCCACGGGAACTGAGTGGTCCCATGCAGGGCGCCATGTCCCCAGGGGCACCCCAGCTGCTCCTTTAAGCAAGTCTCACTTGTGTTTCCCTGGGCCCAGGTCATGAGGTCCACGATGGGTTGGCCTTGGCCTTGGTCTCCAGGCCCCAGAACTTGGGCTGATGCCACATGGCCCAGGGTCCCCAGCCTGGAGGATCACATTGAGGGTGTTGACTATGCAGGATGTCCCAACGCCATCAGGGAAGTGGGGACAGAGGTGTTTGCCCCAGGGTGTATCCTGAGCCTTGTGGAGCCAGGTCCAGGGACACACCTCTCTCTGGACTGGCCAACGCCTCACGCCACCTCAGCAGGCTCAGGGGATCTAAGCCAGGTCATGCCATGTGAGTCACACTGATTCAGGGCCCACGGCCCTGCTGTGACCCACAGGCCCCTGGGCCTGACTTCTCTCCAACTCTGTGTCCATGCTGCAAACATGCAGCCCTTCCTGTGTGCAGACTGGGCCAGCGCCAGGCTCTTTCCTGCCCGGTGCAGGTGCTTCGGGGTGCACGCATCCCCAGACCCTTGTCATCCAGGTCTCAGCTTAATGAATGTCATTCCCTGGAGCCCTTTTCCTGTCCCCAAACCAGATGAGTCCCCAAGTCAGCCGAGTCTTGGTGACACCTGCCGTGTGTTCATCCCAGCACCATGTAACATGTTCCGGCTCGTTTCCTGCCCCCAAGGGTTGAGGGTCAACAGGATGAGGTAACAGGCATCCCCAGTGCCAGCCTGAACGACTCAAAGCAGAGGTCTTTATGGCGTGGCCTCCGGCCCTTTGGTGTACTATCGTGGATTATCAGTCTCCACTGTGTGCCTGGTGTCTATGCTCCCGGGTGTGGAAAGAGCACTTTTAAGAATCAAATTTATTTTTACACATAACTAAGATGTTAAACAAGAGCAAATCTGATGTGCGGCCCTCGTTCTCGGAAACGTCTTTTACTGCGCCCCTTAGGTCTCCGCTCTCCACTCAACCGCAGGGGAAGTTAATTTGTCCATAGATATAAATGTCCAATTCAGCCTGAGGGCCTCTTGCTCCCTCTTCAGGGATTCATTATATCAAACCCCACTGCTACCAGGAGTGCGATGCAGGGAGGCGGCAGTGAGGGCAGGAAAGACAACTCCCAGATGGGAGCCTTATCCTGGAGCAGCTCCCATACCTGATTCTAAGTAACTCACTAATTTGCAGCACTGAGCTGTATCCCCAGCCCTCTGCTTTATTTTTTGTTCTAGAAGTCTTGCAAAGCCCCCAAGGCACTCAGGCTGGATTCAAACTTCCATCTCCCACCTCAGCCTCTTGGAGTGGGAGGATTACTGGCCTCTCCCTCTCCCAGGTCTAAATTATAATTGTTGGATTCTGCATGACAGACCTGGCTGTTGATAAATACTTCTGGAGTCCTTGGTAATAATAGATTTGATGTTGCTTTTAAAACTGTCTCTGTCGAGTAGATGAATTTAAGCTGTAGAGAACTGTGTCATGAGCAGCCCCAAGTGAACAGTAGCTCAACTTATGATCATTCGGCTCAAGGATAAGACGGTGATATGAGCATTTTCCATACAAACCTACTCCTGATTTTGGATTTGGGTTTTTCCCTGGCTTGGTGACATGCAGGATAGCACTTTTTTGGAGCTGGGCAGGGCCAGACCCACCGATCAGGATGTCCACAGCATCACAGCGCATGCTGGGCTGGCATGCACTTAAGGCGTTGCACAGCTCCCATCCCCACGGTCTCTGACTTCATGGGTCTGTCTGGACGTGGTCTGGCTGTAAATCAAGGAGCACCTATGTTTATGTTTGAAATTCTAGCGCTGATGGAGATCACACACTTAACTGCCGATTCTAGAGGTTCTGATTTCTCTCCTAAGAAATGAGGTCCACGATGGTACAGGGTCTCAGAGAACACCGGGACACATGTGTATGACCGGCCCCTGTTCTCCAACCCCCCTCCACCCGAGGGGTTGATGCCAGGTGCAGGTGTTTGTTCAATCTGGCCCTCGCTAGCTTTGTTCTCACTGAGCATGGCTCTCCTGCTTCTCCACTTACTCACTGGGGCACACAGTCCTGCAACGGCAAGGTGGCCCTGTCCCCCTCTGTGACCACATCACTCAGGGCCTGGGGTCCCTTCAAACCTTGCGTCTGCTGCTCTGCAGTAGGCCCAGTCTGTCTGGAAAGCCCACGGTTCCACCTGGGAGTCGGGCACACTCTGCAAACCCCTGGTGGCTGATGGAGTCACTCTGTTCCTGGCCACCTGCGTCCGCAAGCCTGTGACACCGGCACCCTTTTTACAACTGGCTCGCCTCGGAACAAACTGACTGACTAATTCTTGAGCAGATTATACATCAATCCTGCAAATAGTTGCTTCAACATACAAATTATTGCCACAGGGTCTATTTACAGCCAAGACTGTGCAGACAGACGCCTTGATATATGTGTCTTTATTTGCTGTGAATAATTTCCACAAGGTGTCATTGGAAAGACATGATTCACATTTTGCTTTGGGAGGACACTTGGGGCGGGATACCGGCGGCAGTGTGCACACCGCTGTCCCACGGGGACCAGCTCCACGAGACGGTTCTGGGCTCTGCTGGGGGGATCTGGCCACTCCTGCAGGAGCAGTGCTGGCTGCCTTATACACACACTCGAGAGACAAAACTGAAATGGGACACAGTGCCTCGCTGGGGCCCCAATGAGCCTGCGGGCTTGGGGAGGCTACGCCAGGTCTCAGGGATGAGCAGGGGCCACACCCAACTCCAGAGGCCGAGGTCAGGCCATTCGATCACGGCTCCTCCTTGCCAGTGTGCCTGCGGGTGTGCAGAGAGGAAAGGTACAGAGAAGTGGGGGTCACAGCCCTGTTCTCCAGCTAGGGGGTGACAAACACTGGGATGGAGATGCCCCGATGAACACACGGGGACTTCAGTGCCCACACTGGGAAGCGAGCTGGCTTCCTCCTCGTCTGCCCTTGTCTTCCCCCTTCCTTGACCTCTGTCCCCTGAATCCATCTGTCCGGTTCCTGTCCTCCACTAGCTCCAGCCCAATGCTGTGGCTCTGGAGATCAAGGCTCCCATCAGCGCTGTGCCCCCCCCCCCCATCGCCGTTCAGCAGGCTCCGGGCAGTGGCCAAGAAGCCAGCAGTCTCTGGAGCATGGAGGGCTTTCTCAAGAATTTTTTGTGATTGACGAGTCATTGTCTTTCGACTTTTCTTTGTTTAGAGAAGTTGAGACCCGTGACTTTGGCGCACACCCGTGGCTGGGCAGCCTCAGAAACAGACATGCAGCGGCTGCCACCCAGCGCAGAGCTCTGCCTCACTTGTGTGAAGCCTCAGGCTCCATTTTCAGCCCCACAATAAAGGCAAAACCGTGCACAAAACTGGAAACCTTAACTCTGGACGCCTCATAGGGACACAGAGGGTCGCCACGTGAGCATGGTGACTGCAGCTACCTGGCTGAGTCCGAAGCACTTTGGGAGGGGTCAGGCAGCATGGTTCGGGCTACAGGCAGAATTGGACACCCGGCTCATCTCCCCACTCCTACTCAGGGCCTCAGGGCTCAGGATCTGCCTCAGCCCTCCTTGGAGCAGCGCAGATACCCGGTTGTGTGTGGTGAAGTTGGCAGGCCCAGCCATTCCTGTCTTTCTGAGCACAGCTACAGTCACTGAACTGTGTGGCTGGCTGGGACTCAGGCAGCACACGGAGGGGTGGCATTAGTGTGACACCATGTCCTGTGCTGTCCCCAGATGTGGCAAAGGAAGGCACCCGCAGCCCAGGGGGTCCCCGGCTCTGTACTGTTTCCCAAGCTGTTCACAAGCTCACGCATGCAGTGTAAAGGGCACACCTGCTCGTGCCCCTCGGTTCTCTGCAGAGTGATTAACCGGTATCTGGCTGCCCTGGAGACTGAGATCCAGCCAGGTAGTGAAGGACTTTAGATTCCAAGACTAATCCACACCCTTACACAATTGCAGATTGCCGCATCCCACAGATCGAAGATGCTGAGGTCCAGAACAAGACGTACAGACACGGAGACAAACTGATCATTGCCTGTCATGAGGGATTTAAGATCCGCTACCCTGACCTGCACAATGTGGCCTCGCTGTGTCAGGATGACGGCTCATGGGACAATCTACCCATCTGTCAAGGTACCCGGCTGCCAGCTTTCCTCTGGCTGTGTGGCTGCCTCGGGCACAGAGGATGCTGGGGAGCTCAGAGCCACTGTCCCAGAGGCTGCAGGCTTCTCTATCACCGCCACCTTGTTCTGCACACTCCAGGCCTAAAGTGACCTGGGGAAGACCTCGCCCCTCTGGCTGTCCCCTCCACCCTAGGAGGTTAGGAGAACTTCATGGATTAGGAGACTCAGCTCCGGGTGCTCACGGGGTGATGTGCACTTCATGAAAGTCACAGAGCATTTGTAGCATTTGCAGCAGAGCATTTGTAGCATTTGCAGCCTTATTTCAGCAGCAGTGAGAAGATAGTTTCAGGCTATGATGAAGAGCTGTTTTTCTATTAATAATGTTATCCCTTTTATAATGCATGAAGAGCAGGAAAGTAATCAAATTCAAGCTTCTTACACACCACAGTGCCTATTTCTCACCTCACCTGTTTGGAATGTGGGGGGCTGTGTCTGTGAGTGTGGCCTCACAGACCACATGAGTCCACACTGATTCCAGTTTTGTTTTCCACTGCGTGACTTGGACTTCAGGTGCAGGGAGCTGGTGCACACTGCGTGCTCTGAGGGAAGGGCAGGAGCACGTGTGTGGTGCCCGGTACCAGGCTTGTCTTTCTGCTGGGACTCACAGCACCAGGCTCCCACACCACACTGTGCCACATCACTGAAGAGAAACTAAACTATTCCCGTCCCTGGGAGCTGGAGAAGCCTGCCCTGGGGTGACAAGGCTGCCAGTGCGGGACAGAAACAGCGGAGAGCACTGTCCCCTATGCTCCCCGGAAGCTGCTGGGCTGCTAATCTGTCCTGCACACCACGCTGCAGGGGCCGCACTGGGTCGTGTTGGATATCCGCCACTTCTCACCTGCATGTTTCCCAGGATCCTCTGCTTCCTCCCCTGTGTCACTTCCCACAGTCTGCTCTGGTGTTATTGGGTGTGTCCCGTCGTGGCTTCCCTCTTTGGTGTGCTAGAGTTCAATGTGCATGCTCCTATCGCTAGGCCGGCTGCTCTGTGCCACCCCCTGCCAGCCCTATCACCAGTACCCATCTGTTGGCTGTGCTGGGTCTGCCCCACACTGCACTGGCTGACCACTGTGTTTAGTGGTGAACCTCAGAGGCTGGCATTTGAGCGCACACGGATATGGGCCTTCTGCCCTGTGGGGCACCAGGCTCCTGGCTGGCCCCAACCCACTTTGCACTTCAGTGTGCACCATGTGATGCTGCCCACACCTGGCAGGGCACCGGGAATGAGGACTGGAGTCACCCCAGAGTCACTCCGGGTAGTCTAGCGCCTCCCCAAACTCCCTAGGGAACATAATTGTCCCTTAGAGCCATATCTTGTTCTTCGACCTGTATTTGCACCTATAGATCGAGAGGCTGACACTTTAGGACTTCTGTGTTATGCAGAATTGCGAATGGGAACAACTGAGCCAGCACGCAGAGCATTTCCTGTCCCACAGGCCATGTGCACAGTGACCCTGACCTGAGTTAGAGAGATGGACACTATTCTCCAAAGCAGAGGTCCCACTGAGTGCTGGAGCCCCACAGGGTGGCCAGGCCTACACTCCAGACACTTGGAGGAGCGCACTGCGGGCTCCTGGGGCAGGGCTGTCTGCAGTGGGCAAGCTGCCCCAAGCGCTCTTGGCCTGTTTGACCTTCAGATGTCAACAGATGATGGAGCGAAGCTTTCTCTCTCTCCCACATCTTCCAGGCTGCCTGAGGCCTCTGGCCTCCTCCAATGGCTACCTGAACGTCTCTGAATCCCAGAGCTCCTTCCCTGCGGGGACTGTGATCGCCTACCGATGCTTCCCGGGGTTCAAGCTCGAGGGGGCTGAGCATCTTGAGTGCTTGCACAACCTCATCTGGTCATCCAGCCCGCCCCGGTGCCTGGCTCTGGAAGGTAAAGCATTCTGCTGTTCCCAGGTGGTGCGGGGTCTTCCTACCCGTGTTCCCAAGGAGGGGAGAGAAAAGACGTGGGTTCTCTGAGCCTGTTCTCCCCCACACTCACCACCAGAGGTAAGGCTGTGTCCCTCATCCTTATGCTTTAAGGGGAGAAGAACAAATTAAAGGAAATCGCAGGGAAGGTTAAACTACAGTGTTGCAAAGTTACATGAAATGGTTTTGGAAATTAATTTTCTGTGCACCAGGTGAAAACAGACTGCATCTTGGCCTTGTTAATCTCAGCCCTCATCTCCTATTGTGCCGGTGTTGCCTGCCTGTTTCTGCACCGTTTGGGGCTGCGCTGTTAAGCAATTGGGGCAGGCTCATCCGCGGAAACCTGTAAGCAGGAGTGCTCTCCTTCTCAACCTGCATGATCAGTGGTGTGGAGGTGTGAGGTAGCCAGGCAGGGTACCCTCTGCAGAACAGGTGGTACCACAGGTGGGGTCCACATAGTCTCCGGCCAGGTTTCAGGCTCAGACGCGGTGCCCTCACTTTGCCTCTGGCCTGGATTATGCCCCATGAGCTTCTTGGCCGGGGACCCAGAGCCCTTCCAAGCCCACATGCCCCATTTTAGAGAAGGAGGCAAATCTTGGTCCATGCTCAGGGTAGCCTGGGGCCCTCTGTGCTGGCCTCTCGGTGGTCACAGGCCGGGGCATCTGGAGGGAATAGGGAGACGCTCATTTCTGTAAGGAAGGACTGGTTAAGAGCATGGGACAGGCGGATGGAGGGAGAGACCTGGAGGTGGTCACCAGCATCCCCACCACCCCAGCTGTCACCTGTCCCATCCCCGGGGCTGGAGCCAAGGTAGAAGAGTTAGACCAAGTACAGGACGTCCAGTCAGACCTGAGCTGCAGGCACACAGCAAATGGTTTTTCAGTGCGTGCCTGCCCTAAGTCATGTGGCACTCACGCCTGGCAGTATACGGATTACATGTGTTATATGGTACATATGTGTACTTCGTCTTTCTAAAGTTCAGATGGCCTGAGTGTCTCGTATTCTGTGGCCTGGGTCTGGCCATCTGGTTACCCTGCTTCTGGGGGGCACAGCCTCCCTGTTGTCAGGATGGGTCAGGATGGGTCAGCTAGCAGGGTGCTGCTGAGAAAAGAGGCCTCTTTCCTAGCTCCGGGCTCCTCCCTGCCCAGGGGCAGCATGACGACACTTGGCCTTTCAGTTCGAAATGGCCAGTTTTAAGTCTTTCCAGATTTGGTTTAAATGTTTCGCGCAGTCAGGTTCTATTCAGTTTCATCTGGGGACCTTGGAAAGCCTTGGTGTGTGTTTGTTTGCTTTTGGTTGTTTTTTTGACACAAGGTCTCTATGCAGTTTGGACTCACCTTGAACTCACTTTGTAGCCCAGGCTGGTCTCAAGCTCGCAATGAGCCTCCTGCTTCAGCCTCCCAAATGCTGAGATTACAGGCGTGTGCCACCATGTCCAGCTTTTGGAAAGCCCTTTTTAGAGATCCCAGAGAAAATCCTCAGATAGGCATGAAACCAAAGCTAACTTCGAGAGACAGAGGTCTAGGATTCGCAGCAGGAGGGAACCAGAACCAGCGGGCAGCTGCCTAGCCAGGAAGACACGACCACCCCTAGTTCTTACAGTACTGTTTGTGTCTTCGTTTTTGATTCCCATTTCTGGATGATCTGATGGGACCAGTCCTTGAAATCTTTGGCTGCAACACCAACAGTTTGAAACCAGTCTAAGAAACAGAAAGAGAGCATCTGCCTTTAAAATAAGTGAATAGCAGGAGAGGAGGGCCAGACTCCTGGGCAGGGCACCAGAGAGCCTGGGTCTGCTGATGCCTCCCTTCTGTACTTGTGTGTCCCAGTTTACCCAGTGTCCTGGGGTCCCCAGTGACCCTGCTGCTGGGTGCCCTGCATCACACGCTCCCCCGCCCCCCTCTTCCTGAGCTTGTGGTTTGCACGTTTGATTCTGTGTGACAGTGTAGCGAAGGTGACCATAGGGTGCTGTGGAGCTGGGTGCTGTGGAACTTCTGAGGCATGGACGGCCACGCTGGGAATTTAGACGTGCACCTTCTCCCTGCCCTCTCTGTGGTTAACCCCTGCTGTCCGCTGACAGGGGACCTGTCCTTCTCAGATAAGTCACTACGGCTTCTGGCTTCTGCCTGCCAGGAGCAAGGAGGTGGGTCTGTACCCAGGAGCAATGCGGTGTGTGACCAGGAGAGCAGCAGCAGCTGACCACTGGCTGTCCATCTCGGGTCTTCTACCCAATTGCGTCCTCCTGTGGCGGGTGGCTTCCCCTCCATTTCCCTGTTTCCCCGTGAGGGGCAGTGTGAGCTTGCTACCCTGCGTAGGAACGCACTTGGCGCCTGGCAACTGCCTCAGTCTTCAGGCTCCTCAGGGTGTCAGGGCTGTGTGAGAATCCAGATCTGGAGGAGGTATCTGCGCCTGCACCCAGGTATGGTGACTGTTAGCTGCTCAGGTGCTGTGTCGATTGACTCGTGTCCTTAATTTGGTTAGTTTTCTCGTTGCTGAGATGAAATACCTGACACCCAAAGTTAAAGGGGGAAAGGTTTATTTAGCTCACAGTTTGTAGAGGTTTCAGTCCATAATGGGCCGGCTCCAAGGCAGGGTGGCACAAGGGCAACAGTTCATGGCGGTAGAAGACAGCAAAAGCAGCAAGGGAACTCTTTCTGCCCCTTTTACTTTACCCAGGCTACCGGGATTAGGGGTGTCAGAGCAATCAGTGGACTGATTTAGTGATCACCCATCCTTATCCCAGCAGGTCACATTCTAGATCTGGCCACTTCTGGCAAAGCCCTATGACCATGCGAAGCTTTGAGGGGACCTCTAGGCACAGCCATAACCACTGGCTTATGTAAGGTGACCCTCAGGTAACATGGGAAGTGCAGAGCAGCAACAATTGCCAGTCTTACTCTTGAGCCACCTACACAGGAGCGACCTACACAGTGGTGATCAGAGGCGTCAGCCTAGGGCCAGCAGGAACAGAGCCCGGACCGCCTCTCAGCTCCTGAGCTGAACTAGGGAATTTATCTGGTCCTATTGTCCTAGAGAAATCCCAGCTGCACCCCAGAGGGGCCCACTGCTGTCCCCAGCGGCCGCCACGTGTGCCACTGCCCCTGACCAACCCCGTTGTCCCCAGAGCACAGTGACCCTTTCTGCACTGAGGGGAACCAGGCCATGGCCTCGTGGGCAGTGTCTGGAGTCCCCAGCTGGCCTGGGGAAGACTTGGTCCTGAGGTGGCTATGCCCGGGACTGTGGCCCTCGGGATGGTGTGGGTTTGGGGACCTGTAATTTGGCCGCACTGTGGGAAGGACAGGGGTACTTGGGGGGAGCTCATGGTCCCTGGGGCTGTGCTGGAGGGGCTTGACCTGTCCCAGCCTCCTTCTTCCTCCACCTCTGTCCCCCCATCGCCCACATGAGCAGCTCTGCTCCTCCACTCCTTGCCCAGGACACGGCGCTCCCCATGGCCTGGAGCGGGGGTCTGGGGGCCATGGGTGACCCATGTCCTCACTAAGGAGGTTTCCGCAGGTGCTTTGTCACAGCACCAAAAGCTGACACGCCTGTGTGACCGACCCTGGCTGTGCCCTCCTCATACCACGATGCCCTCCTGGCCCCAACACCTCTCTAGGCTCCCCCACATCCAGGCCAACACGTATGCAGCCCAGTCAGTAGCCCCACACATCAGCCAAAGCCTTAGGGACTTGGATCTGGGGTTGGATTCTCCAAAACTAAAGAACCTTCCATTCCCTTGGAGACAGGCGTGTGCTCCCTGGGAAGAAGGAAGCCGGGCCGCCCCTATCCCGTGTTCCAGCAAGAGCCAGGGAGTCTCGGGTGAGGCCCAGCCCTTGGTGGGGACATGTGTGGAGCAGATGCAGGCCCCTTCCCTCACTCTGCCCGGCACTGAGGGCTCTGGAGCTGGCACTGTTTACACAAAAGCCACCTTGCCTGTGACCCTGGACAGGCACTCTATTAACAGGAGATGTAAAACAGCGAGCAGTCCTTTTAATTTACAGTTCCCAAGCAACAGTAAATTGTCCTAATGCGGTTTCTGTGTTCCGTTCTCACGTGACGGCAGAGTTCTCGCCTGCCAGGCCGCACGCCCCCCTCCTCTTTCTTTTCGCCCTGAGCAATCACCACAGTGGCCGTGGTCACACTTCTCCCCTGCGCTCCGGCTTGACTGTGCCACGGCCTCAAGAAGCTGCAGAGTCCTCCTCCCTCTCCTTTTCCTCCTCCTCCCCGTCTTCCTACTGCAGTTTTTCCCCCTGTATTGAGTCAGGAGACACTGAGCCTTTCTCCTAATAACCAAGAGGCCTTGTTCCTGTGTGCTGGGTGCATGCCATCCCGAGGCCCTGTCTCCCTTGTGCTCTGACTTCTTCCCTGACTGCCCTCCGAAGACCCCGAGGCTGCTGGGAGGCTGCAGGGTTCCTGCCTCTCGCCAGTGTATCTCCTCGATTTGCCCTGCACGCCCTGCGTGAAAACCTCACGCTACAAGCTGAGGTCTTTCCCAGGGATGTTCAAAGGTCGGGTTACCCAGGAGAGGGGCTCGCACTGGGTCTGAGTGGAGGGGAAGCATTGGCTTTTGTCCCTGGACTCTGGGACACCCTCTGCTCTCTGCCCTGGGGAGATCTTCCTCCTTTCCTCCAGGGAAGGAGGATGGCTGGTATTTCACAGCAATAAGAACCTCTGCAATCAGGAGCAACACAGAAGGCTGGGATCTTCCGTCACCTCGGGGCTATGGGCGGAGGAGGGTCCAGTGGCCTCCGGCTAGTTCTTCCCATCCCTCCCCATCACCTTCACCACCACACCAGGCTCCCTGGGACCCTGTCCTAGGCCCCACCTCGTCCTTCCCAAAACCTGTCCCGCAATGGCTGTGCTGTGGTCGTTTTCTGTTGGTTCAGGGGAGCTCGTGTGAGTTTTGATGTGGGTTTCCAAAAGGTCACTCAAGACTCTAAGCTGTGCTTTGCGTCCCTGAAAGCCCAG